TCCTCTATACCACGAGAGCCTATCAGGACAGAACCATACCGTAAAACACGGTCGAAAAGCTCCTGTATACCACGAGAGCCTATCAGGACAGAACCATACCGTAAAATCGAAACCTGGACTTGTGTTTAGACTTTGCATTAGTTCCGCCAGGGTCAAGGTCACGTCCTGTGTTTGTGCACGGGACACCGCGAAGGTCAAGACCTGATCACCTGCAAGATTTTATTTTGGACACCCTTGAGAAGAAAAAAGATGGTCAGATTTCGTCCGCACACCTGGTCCATTGTGGCGTTGAAAATGTCGAATGGGCAGTTTACGGTTAGACCACTGCATGACACCGGCCGTGATTGGAAAGGTCTGTCTGTCTGTCTGTCTGTCTGTCTGTCTGTCTGTGTGCCTGACTCTCTGTCTGTCTGTCTGCCTGTCTGTGTGCCTGTCTGTCTGTCTGTCTGTCTGTCTGCCTGTCTGTCTGTCTGTGTGCCTGTCTGTCTCCGTCTGTCTGTCTGTCTGCCTGTCTGTCTATCTGTCTGGCTGTCTGCGACAGACATCGGTGATCATAGTTCGCCATTCATTTCTTTTCTCGGATGCTCTCAAAAAGCCTGTAACATTATCCCGCGTTTTCCCTCTACTCATCTGCTCAGGTTGTCCCAAATAATCGACTCTCGGTCTTCCCCTGCCTAGACTGTCTTCTATTTCCCAACTGACATGAAGCAGCTCAAAGCCTCTATATCGACCCATGAGTCCCCGAAACAAGTGTCCTATAGCTGGTAGTACATGATACCATGGCGTTGTTCTTGATAATAAGTTTCCGATAACTATCCCGAACCTACTCGTAACATATACCTTGTGGAATTTCGGAACAATCTCGGGAGAAAGTGAAACATAACTAACTAGAAGTAGAAGAAAGTAACAATGGACAGTCTGTCTACCATCTACAAAACTAACTTTATATACATGTACATAACCTTGTGTTGACTATAGTTAACACATCACGCGCACTACGTTTTATACTAATCAGATGGTGTCATTTTGATAGGGTTGGAGGAAGGAAAACAAAAAAGTGTCGTCTATTCAAGTACCCCCAAAATTACGAGTCTCAGATTCAAGTGTTTTCCAGTAGTTTCTCAAAAACATTTTAGACACGACAATAATATGAAAGGACACACAGGGTCACCAATGTGGAAGTGTTAAGGAAAACAAGACAGATCCCAGTCAGAGATGAGATAGGAAGAAGGCGGTGGCGATGGATTGGACATACTCTCAGGAAGTCAGGCAGCTGCATAACGAAGAAAGTTTTGGATTGGAACACACAGGGCAAGAGATCAAGGGGAAAACCTCGTGGAACCTGGAGAAGAATCACAGAAATTGAGGAACAGAAAAGTGGGAAGACATGGAATAACATCAAGAGGATAGCCCAGGATAGAGAAAACTGGAAGGTGTTTGTACGTGGCCTATACCCTGGTGCAAGGTGAGAAGGGCAATGATGATGAATATATGAAAGGGGGGAAAAAAGATGTAAACGTTTCACTTTTTAGTACATCCAGTGGTAGGCTTTAAAAAACTTTACTGTCATCCATTTACGACTGAAACCTGTCAACACCAAACTGCACGATCCCACGGTTGTCATTTCAACAATCTAGTATTTATTGTGTATTTATTTTCCCTGAGCAAAAAATCATTTTTCAGAAGTTATATCGCGCAGCTACAAACACAAACGCCCATCATTAAAAGTAGTAGAAGTAGTAGCGGGGTGCGATTTGGAGGAAACTAAACTGCATGGACGTTTCGAACCGTGATGTCACTATTCTTGCTATTCGAATACTGAGTGCTAAGGTTTTGTTGGTTTGGTGGGGTTTTTTGTTATGTATAATTAGAGGCATGTTTTATAACTGTTGTCGGTGTCACTTAATACTCTGTCTTGTAATCATCAAATACAAAGAAGTAATGTATCGTCGCTGTCGCAAGCAATCTACTTAATTTCGAATTTTGAAAATTTTCCGTTTTTGCATTTTCCCAAAGCTCAATCAAAGATATACCTTTCATCAACACCAAAATGCAGTATAGTGCTATGGTCAAGGTTAGAGATTTCCTTGCTCTTTGTGCGTGATCCCTGATAGAAACAACGCAACAAAGACTAGTTGTTTTGTTTGGGGTTGTTTTTTTGTCTCTGACGTAAAAAGCACTGAATCCGACCAGAGAGGGTTTACAGTAATAGTAGTATTACTGTAAACTCTCTGATCGGACTTAGCTGGAGTGCTCGCCATACCGTCGGTATGTATTTAACAAAAAGATTTTTAGATATAATGCGATCTAATTTTACGACGGGCTAGGAGAAAAAATGACGAGCCAATACATTGTTGGTAAAAATCCCACACTATACGAGTATTCGAATGGCTCTGCCTCGCTTCGAATTAAATTTTGTGTGAATAACAGGAAAATAGTGTTGAATAGTAACGTCGACTGGGCACAACTCTAATCACCTGTCCCCTCTTTGTGTGTTCAGGCTGCTATATAGTCACCATTATGCTACTGTGACACTTTAATTGTTCTATAAACCCATACCATATTCAGCTTTTAATTTCTAAAATTTCACGAAGAGTTTTACGGCACTTGCAACACAAATAGGTCATAAAAGTGCCGCAGACTGGAGGTGTTCCTAGACGATATGCAATGAAAAGAAGGAGAGATACGGGTGATAGATGTTTGACAGGAAAGAAAGGGCAAACCAAATTAGAACGTCCACCAACCACCATCTTCAGAAAGAAAAAAAAAACTTACAACGCTACAACGGTCGTTAAATTCGGAGGTCCCACTTCTTTAATAAACTAACAATGTTGCAATGGGCGCATTATAACCCTATATTCTGTTTTTTTCTGTTCCACGAGAAATTCCCATTTCAAGACCAGCTAGACATCTGAATGTTTAATATGACGCAAAGTAGTGTGGCGGGTGTGACTGTGCGTCGCCGAATGTGGATGGGAGGGAGAGGGAGGGGAGAGGGAGGAGAGAGGGAGGGGAGAGGGAAGGGAGACGGAGGGGAGAGGGAGGAGAGATCG